GCCTAGACCAAACTACCACACCCCTAAGCCTTCTCTTTTCCGGACTGAACAAACCCAAGTCTCTCAGCCTTTCCTCATAAGAGAAGTGCTCCATCCCTCTAATCATCTTCATGGCCCTCCTCTGGACTTTCTTCAAGAGATCCATGTCCTTCTTGTGCTGAGAACCCCAGAGCTGGACGCAGTACTCCAGGTAGGGTCTTATGAGACCGGAGTAGAGTGGGAAAAGCAGAGTAGAGGGGTAATATCTCACATAGAAACCCTATCCTTAGTTCATAGACTCGGCAAATAATTTAGCATGGAGGGGAATTTTGGAGGTTATCTGGTCCAATTCCCCACTGAAAGAAAGGCCAGTTTTGAAGTTAGATCCAACTCCATGGTTGGATCACGTTACTCAGGGCTGTGAATCAACTCTTGAAAAATGGAGATCTGGCTGCCTTTCTGGACAACCTGTTCCAATGTTAGATCACACTTCTTGTCAAATTATTTTTCCTAATATATAATTGGAATTTGCCATGCTGCAACTCGCATCTGTTGACAGTTCAGAAGAAAAATGGGGTTTGATCCAAAAGGACCTTTATTGAGAAAAAAATTTATTTCATGGAGAAACAAAAGTTTGGAGATTATTTTCATGTTCAGTTGTAATGTAGTTGTTTTATGGGGAAAAGCTGTCACAGCATCTTGTCCATGGGAGAAGAATGTGTGTAGATATGCATGCATTGGAGGGATACACTCACTTACATGATCATAGTCTTTTAAAAAATAGACCAGCCTCCAAAATGAAGAATGGTACTGCGAACACTAGCTGCTACATTTAGTTCAATTTAATAACATATCATGTGGTTTATATGCAATGTAATCATAATATTCACTCCTTATATGCTTTAGATTTATATGCAAGTTTTGGTGCCTGAGTCATCTGTTTGCAAGCTACAGCAGACTCATATCCTGTATCAAGTGTGGTGTATGTGGGAAAGTAATGCATATTGATCAGTAAACTTTGCATTATTATTTCCATCTTTAACTTCCTCTTTTTATAAATAGCCTTATTGTGTGAATCAACACAGGCAGGCAGCCGGAACAACCTCACACAGCTAGAAAGCAAAGAGTAAGTTTATTTCCATTACCTTGCTAACCAGGGGATCCCCAAAGCAACACCCACTCAGAGGTACACAAGCAGAGATGCAGGCACAGTTAAACTCAGTACTAGAAGATCACTGGCCTGCTGTTCACACAGGTTTTAAGAAGAGTTATTCCCAGCTGCAAGGTCACTTGATTGATATACAATCCTCCTTGCCAGTCTTCTGCTTTTTAACCCATTCCTCCCAACATTCCAACCCCTCATTCAAGAGACCACTGCTGCTGGGGCTGGAAATGTGGGATAGGAAATTTACAGAGACACTTAATAAAGCATATAGAAAAGGGAATAAACATATCACAGAATCACAGAATGGGTCAGGTTGGAAGGGACCACAGTTGTCCAACCTCCTGGTTCAAGCATGATTATCCTAGAGCACATTGCCCAAGATTGTGTCCAGATGATTCTTGAATATTTCCAGTGACGAAGACTCCACACCCTCTCTGCACAATCTGTTCTAGTGCTTGGTCACTCGCACAGTAAAGAAGTTCTTCCTCATATTCAGGTGGAACTTCTCATGCATCAGTTTCTGTGTGTTGCCTCTTGCCCTCTTGCTTGGCACCACCAAGAAGAGACTGGCTCCATCTTCTTGGCCCCCTCCCTTCAGATACTTATAGGCATTAAGGAGGTCCCCTTCAGTCATCTCTTCTCCAGGCTAAACAGGCCCAGTTCCCTCAGCCTTTCCTCATATGTGAGATGTTCCAATCCCTTAATCAACTTTGTAGCCCTATGCTGGACCTGTTCCAGGAACTCCATGTCTCTCCGTATACTGAGGAGCCCAGAACAGGACACAGTACTCCAACTGCAGCCTCACCAGGGCCTGCTAGAGGGGCAGGATCATCTTCCTTGACCTGCTGGCAATGGTCTTCCTAATGCATCCCAAGATACCATTGGCCTTCTTGGCCACGAGGGCACACTGCTGACTCATAGTCAACTTGTCTGTCAGGACCCCCAGATCCTTCTCTGCAGAGCTGCTTTCCAGCAGGTCAGCCCCCAGCCTATACTGGTGCATGGGGTTATTCCTCCCCAGGTGCAGGACCCTGCACTTGCCCTTGTTGAATTTCAGACAGTTCTTCTCTGCCCATGTCTCCAGCCTGTTGAGGTTTTTCTGAAGGGCTGCACAGAATTCTGGGGTATCAGCCACTCCTCCCAGCTTTGTGTCATCAGGGAACTTGCTGAGAAGGCAGTCTAGCCCCTCATCCAAGTCATTGATGAACAAGTTAAACAGTACTGGGCCCAGTACAGAACCTTGGGGGATGCCACTAGTGACAGGCCTCTAATTAATCCCTGTGACACTGATTATGACCCTCTGGCATCTGCCATTCAGCCAGTTCTCAATCCATCCCACCATCCACTCATCCAGTCCACACTTTCTGAGTTTGCCTATGAGGATGTTGTGAGAGACAGTGTCGAAAGCTTTGTTGAAGTCAAGGCAGACAATATTGTTATAGTTTCTTACTTTTTTTTTGGTGAATTTTCCAGGCCAACAGTCTTTGCTAGGATAAGATAATGTCCTAGTTAGAACAGCGGGGGCCAGTTCATCACTGTGTGGGTGTAATCCAAACTGTGTATTCTACACCCTCCATGTAATTTCCCAGAAACTGTTAACAATAGATCATTTGCAGCAGCTGCCCAGAGCACACCTGACCCCTCAGGCTATAGTTGTATCTGGCCCTACGGTTTTGACCTGTCTGGCATGGGCGACCCTACCGAAGGCATGTACAATCGCCAGCATAGCTTGCAACCACATAGGGGTACACGGGCTTCGTTCCAATTAGAACGATTTGGGCAAGTCTTTCATTTCCTACTTTACTATCACCTATCTATATACAATCTCAAGGAAATACCCAGGAACAACCCTTTGTCCTGTCCACTCTTTCAGGATGTAACAGAGCAAAGCAAATATATGCAGAACATGCCGAATCTGGGCAGTAGCCACAGGTGAGCCAAAAACAAACAAACAAACAAACTGACCAACCTTCTGGCCCCTGTACCCATCCAAGGCTGGGGTGCCTTTCAAGGCCCCAGCCTGGCCAGGACCCTCATCACTCTAAAAGAACCCACTATCCACCCTGACCTTATCCTTCCCCCACTGTGTTACCACATATCTTCAGGCACCCTTCCCCTCCCCCCCCCCCCCCCCCCCTCCCCCCCCCACCCCCCTCGCCCCCCCAAACCTCTGTGTGCCATGGGGGCGCAGTACCCGGAACTCCGCACCCCCTGTGCTTCTGTATATATACATATACATATATGTATATATTTGGATGATGTAGAATCTGGGCATGACATAGATGGTATAAAATAAGGGGTGGATAATGTCCTGGTTTCAGCCAAGGACAGGGTTAATTTTTTGCAATAGCTGAGAGGGAGTGTGGCTGATGGGGCATGGCCAGACTCTAATGTTATTCAGTAACCTCACACCATTGCCAGGGGCAAAGGAAAGGGACTCTCTAGTGCTTCTGAGGAGAAGGGCATTACTTCCAGTGGGAGAAAACTTGGAAGAGGGAACAGTCCACTATTTGTTTATTGTCTTTTTCAAAGTAGTTTCTTTGTCTTATACCTTTTGTTATTACTATTTTTGCTGTTACTGTTTGTTTCCTTATCTCAATGCTGTTTCCAGTAAATTGTTCTTATCTCAACCGCTGATCTCTGCCTTTTGTGCCTCCCATTGGAGGGGGGGAGCGACAACATGATTTTATCAGGACTACTAAATTGGAGACTACCATTCCTAAACCATGACACTGAGACAGAAATTGAGGTTGTGAAATTTTAATTGGCTTACTAGGAAGTAGGTGAGCATTGTGACTTAGTTGATAAGGATAGTGCAACATTAGAAAGTGTCAGATGAAGAAGTTAGTTAGACAGACTGATCTATGTTTAGTCATCTAGAGATTACTGTTTCTGAAATGGTGTTGGGATCCGATTATTAAAGGATGTTTCTGCCCAAATTAAGGTTCAAACAAGACCATATGCCAAAGTCAATGGTACGGACTTCATTTAACAGTAAATATTAGGTAGAGAGATAGAAATAGGAGTTGAGAGAGGGAGAGAGAGAGAATGAGAGAGAGACAGATTAAGTAGAAAGATAAATATATAACTACCACATGGATTCCAACAGTGTCCCGCTGGATCCTTCTTTTGGTCTTCTCAGTGGTGAGGGTCCCAAAGTCGTGCTTCTGGAGTACTGTTTTTATATAGCCCAAGTCCCAGATATTCACAGGGCATCTCAGATGTTCTCACAACTTGGGATGGCATGGGTGTAAGCAGTTGTTTTCTTTCCCACAGCTTGCAGAGTGGAATTTTGTCCAGTGTGCTAATTTCAAACCTTTACCTTCATTTAGGTGTGTAATTAACGCTTTCCTTTCTCGCAGTTTTCCACAGTGGGAACCTTTGTTTGGGTAGGTTACCCAGATTTGTCTTACCAGGCCTGGTTCCTTTTGTTGCCATCTGCTCTTATCACAAGTTCATGTCATGGTGGCTTATCTTATGGGAATTTCCTTCTTTGGCAGTGTTTTGAGACAATTAACTGCATTCTTTAAGTCCTGTCAAATGGTAATTCAGCTTCTTTCATAAAATCTTCGATAATTAGTAAGTATAACTTTTAATGAATTTTTTTTCAGCTAGCAACATACTACATTTAACATTTCCAAGATATTGCAGTAAACACTAGAAGTCATAGCAACCATTTTATGAAAAACAATTTCTAAAGGAATTTTATGCTGACTTCAGAAGAACACTACCATTTTAATCGAGTCACCCAGCACTAAGGGTATATTTCAAATGCAGTTATTTATGCAAAGAAGTAATAGTACCTTGAATTTGTTGCAATCAATTCTGTATATGTTGCTTCTACTTATTTCAACAGGTGACTGAGCTAGAGTGTGTGAGCAGTCAACCCAATGAAGTCCACACACAGAAAACAGAATTAAACCAGACAATACAGGAGTTAGAGTCTACACTGAAGAAAAAAGAAGAGGTATCTGCTAGGATTTATTCTTGACTTTTCTGCTACATTATTTCTAAAGGCTTTCAATATTAAACTTGTGATGGCTGGTAAATACTGTATTATTTCCTACAGATGTTACAAAGTAAAATCCATTTTTCAGCTTTTTTGAAAAGATTAATACTTTTTACATGTATTATAATTACATCAGTCCAGTATAAAGCTGGGTATCTGAACAACAAAAAAAAGGTATAATTTTTTCATGTTTGCTATTACCGAGCATCTCTCTTTGCAAAATTAAGTCTTCATTGAAGCATATGTAGTTTCTACAGAGCAGTCATCACACTGATGCAGTCCAAATTCACTAAGAAGGGAAGCAGCCATTGCACTTTACTTTTTCTGGAGAGTAGGGTTTGGAGCAAGTAATAGATCAATGTCTTTTCAGGCCAATCAGGATATGTTAATATAGTTGACTTTCATGATCCCTAAGATTGGCCGTTTTCTTAAACACGCGCCAAAAACCCCAGCCTGTAACTTGATAGTTATTGTGCCATCTGCCTTGGGATGGACCAGCAGCATGGAAATACAAGGAATTTGAGTAACACCTGCTCTGGCATGGGTCTCAGAGGAAAGCAGATTTGTGCCACAGAATGATCAAGACTCACCCCTTTATGGATGGGAAAAAGGAGGTTCAAGGAGCCACGTATGAAGGATTGTTTGTCTCATGTAAAACCAGACCTCCTGAGCCCTCTGAACAGACACAGTGTGCACTGGTGTGCATGTTCAGAGGAGCAGTGTATCTTGCAGGGTCTTGCCTCCAGTGGAGCTGTTGCTAGGTGTTTCTGAGGAAGGTGCATGAGAGGATGCAGTAGTTACAGAATATCCTCCCAAAATGGAACAGTCTTTTCCAAACTTCCTCATACTTAAGAGATTAGCATCAGGTTGGTAATGTTTCCCATTTTGGCAATATCTAACTGCCAGTTTTGATATCATGGCAATAGCTCACACAGGAGAAGCAGCAGAAGCCAGCTTACTTGCACTGAGGCCAAGTTGGGTAATGTGTTGCTAGCAAGGTTGTTTCTTCTCCCTTAGGAAATAGAAAGATTGAAACAAGAAATCGACAGTGCCAGAGAGCTCCAGGCACAGAGGAATTCTCTGACCCAGAAGTTACAGGTGAGCTATAGTGCATCATCTTAATTTAGACAGTGTTGACTAAAATTGGCTCTTAAAGAAGCCTCTAAGACTTGATTTGTGAGTTTTAGGAGGCAGGTATTCTTTATTCAGTGCCAGATGCACTGGGAATCGTTTTGCAAAAGTGCATGATGTGATAGCTTATATGTTTGCATTACACGATTATTCATTTTCGTTTCCCGCAATCCTGTTACATATTCATGACATTTTCCACCACTAATTAGCATATATACATATCCTTATGAGGTCTCTGAGGGGCTTCGCTGAGTGTCTCTGGTGGTTGTTTCTGTCTGAAGCCCCCAAAGTTTCAAGTGACTGCTTTATGAACTCCTTTAAGAGAATGCACTTGCTTGTGTAATGCCCCTCCTTTGCTTGCTTGGCTGCTTCTGTTAACCACAAGTTCCTTTATTGTTTCTTTACTTTGCTTGGCTGGTTTCTTTAAATTGAGGCTTGGTTACACAGTAATTTTCTATGGTACATTCTGTTGCAAGCACTACTAGTTCTGTGATATCTCAAAACTCTGATATCAACAAAAGGGAAAAATTAGCATCAAGTGAGCAGTTCACATCAGCAACTTGTGCTATATTCACTGAGGGTGCCAGAATATGTTACATTGTGTTGCGAAGTGATGGGTGGGGATGCTCCTTGTACCAAAATTTCCACCTGCTGTAAGTCATTATTTTTTTCTCAGGGAACAGACCCAAATTTCATTTACAAGTGCACAGAATATGCTCGGGCTAGCAGATGTGCTTCATTAAAACATGTTCAAGGCCATTCTGGTCTCATTTTCACTGCAGTGTCTTCCCATAGGTCTTGTGTGCCACTGAACTATCAGGCTGTACATCATCATGTTGAGATGAGTTTGTATTCAGCTTTTAAATGTGCTTTGAGAAAGTAAAAGTGTTCTTGTGTAGTACAGACTTCAGAAACACTCTCTAACATTTTCTTGGCATTAGAATAATTGTGGTTTTATTGTTTTTTCTGGGTTGTTTCTTTACTTAGCATAAAGCCAGATACCTCAGCCTACTGAAAGCAGTATGCCCCCCCTTGATATACCCTCACTTGCTACATCTGAGCTCCTTTCCTCCTGTCACTGGGCTGACCAGCCAGCACAGACACACCTCCCTTGTAAAACCTGTCTTCTGAATGAGGCTGACCCAAAGCTTAGTTGGGTTTAAACTCTGAATTCAGACTTCCGAGCTTTGATAGGACTGGAAACTCAGGCATTAAATAGTCCCAAATCCAAAGTGCTGAAAGGTGACCCTTGCTGTTCTGTGGCTTGACCTAAATCACACTGAAAACAAGCCCTGTCAGACTACCCACAGCTTAAAAATTGTTAAGCAGATATTCTTTGAAATGCATTGCATGAATTGGAACTTCCTTGAATCTCATTTTAACTACAGAATAAACCACATAAGAACAAAATGAGTTTATTCATTTTTCCCCATTCTTAAGTCAAATTATTTGGGGAAAGTATGTTATTACCCTTCTGGGTCCCTTCCAACTCAGCATATTCTGTGATTCTGTGATTATGGTGTTTCTTTAAAGAATGTTTTTAATACACCTGAGCTTGCCTAATCCACTATTCCAAAAATTGTTGCTGGCTTTGTTGCCTAAAATCGGCACTTAAAAGAAACCTCTAAGACTCAATTTGTGAGTTTTAGGAGGCAGGCATTCTTTTATTACAGCGCGCTGGATGCACTGGGAATCAGTTTGCCAAAGTGCATACTGAGGTATCTTAGCTACAGCTTATATGTTTGCGTTACATGATTATTCATTTTAGTTTCCCGCAATCCTGCAGCACTATTTAGCATATATACATATCCTTATAAGGTCTCTGAGGGACTTCACTGAGTGTCTCTTGTGGTTGTTTCTGTCTGGAGCCCCCAAATTTACCACTTTATGAACTCCTTTAAGAGAATGCACCTGGTTGTGTAATACCCCTCCTTTGCTTGGCTGTTTCAGTTAACCACAGGTTGCTTTCTTTATTGTTTCTTTACTTTGCTTGGCGGGTTTCTTTAAATCAAGGCTTTGTTTACACAGTAATCTTCTATGGTACATTCTGTTGCAAGCACTACTAGTTCTGTTACATCTCAAAACTCTGATATTATCTTTAGACTAAGGATGGAAGTTTTCAGATGAAAAAGAACTCATCTGAGATACTCAAAAGGAAGATTATAATGAAAGTTGTAAACTGTTCTAGCAGTAGCATATGCAATTTCAGTGTAAGATCACATGAAAAGTAATGATGAGCCAAGAACTAGCTATCCTTAGAATTATGAGAGATGAGTAAGAGATGAAAGATGTTTCAGAATTAGAAAATGCTAAGGTTTTATCAGAAATTATGCTTTATATAGTCAGTAGCTTCCTTTTTGGTATATTTATTTCTTTAGTAACCAAATGGATATATTATTTATATATTTCCATATGTCACATTGTAGGTGATCAGTTTCTGAAAATGGTTCTATATGATTTTATTAAAATAAATTTAAAACTGTCTTAGGATCCAAATTAAAAGTTGCCTTTCTTCAGCTTAAAGCTTATTACTGACCTGATGCAGCCCATCTAAAAGATCTTGAATTTTTGCTTTGCTATAATCTTCTTGCTTTAATAATACTGGCCTTCTCTGAGTCACTTTACCCTACATCTGTGACATTGGTAAAATGGTGTTTTCTTCTATAGCTCCAGACTAACAATCTCACATCTGTTCACTTAGTTGACTCATCATCTGTTTTCAGGGTGATAGTCTCTAGAGTACATATCTGTTTGTCTCGCTCTTTTTTCTTCTGCTTTATTTTTTCCCTCTTGTGTTTGTAAACTCTAAAATATTTTTAATATAGCCTGTATGAACAACTCTATGCAAAGAAATTATTATTTCAAGGTGTATTACATTTCTGACACACTCATATCAGGGAATGAATTAGAAATCCATCATTGACAAATTCCAATGAAGAGCAGTATGCTATCACTGTGAAGGGTATTAGAGCCCTTGTTAGCAATCTAGAGAAGACCTATTAATGTCATGATCAGTGTGATTCTCACAGTAAGTCAGGATATCTTTATTACTGTGGCTGATTCCTAAATATAGCTGTTGTGTATGGTTTGAATATTTTATTTGTATGTTTGCACTGAATTCCACAAAAGATTATTACAGTGAAAACAACAAACATAACTTGTTAATAATTCATTTATTTTCTTAAACAAAACAGTATATCGCAAATGACTGTCCCTGCTGTAAGAAAACTTTGAAAAAACAGTGTAAAGTAAACCTTATAAAGGGCCTGAATGTATCACAAGAGTTGGTTTATTGTTAGATGAGATTAATTGCAAATAAAGTTAAATGACACAACTAGGGTACTAGATTATATCACCTCTCCACTTCCCATCAAGAAGCAACAATTTTGAGGCACACTGACTTGTAATAGGAAACTGGACATGAACTGGGCATGAACTTGTAATGCAATACTATTGCAAAAAGTAGAAATACTAGTCTACGGTAAGCATGAGTAAGGATCAAATGTAAAATTTGGGAAGAAGTGTTTTCCAGAAAATAAAAGCAACAGATCATGGCATATTTCAGTTAGTTCTACTTCCCATAAGTCATTAAAGATGTTAAGTACAGATTAGGGAAAATAAAACAGTAGGAAGTATGGGAGAAAGTATATCTTAGGAAGCATTCGGGGAAGCTAAATGTATATGGATTAGGAAAGAGATATCAAGAATGGAATATAAATAAAGTACACAAGATGGAAGTTTAAACAAAAGAAGGGAAATCTGGTTTGAAGAGAGGACTAGCAATGGAGAGTTAAAGGGAAAAGTCTTATGCTGAATATGGATAGAAGTTCCTACATCTAACAAAGCTTTTGGTTTTACCTGAGTGGTCCCACCTAATAGCTCACAGTAGAACAATTCCTCAGTTTAAGAGCATCTGAGGAGGGCCTGAAAGATAATGTTCAGTGCTAGGTACAGGTCAATGTGCTACTCTTCAGTCCCAGATGTCATGAAATAAAATCATCTAGTTCCAACCCCCCTGCCATGAACAGGGACACCTCCCACTAGACTAGGTTGCTCAAAGCCCCATCCAACCTGGCCTTGAATACTTCCAGGGATGGGGCACCAACAACTTCTCTGGGCAACCTGTTCCAGTGCCTCATCACTCTCCCAGTAAAGAATTTCTTCCTGATATCTAAACCTGCCCTCTGTCAGTTTAAAGCCATTCCCCCTTGTCCTATCAATACATGTCCATGTAAAAAGTCCCTCTCCAGCTTCCTTGTAGGTACTGGAAGGCTGCTATAAAGGTCTCCCTGGAGAGAGGAGACAATGTCTTTTTTCCAAAGTGATCCGTTCTATCACTGACTTGCCTACTCACAAAAATGAATTATCTCTGGGGTAAGAGCAGTGGCAAGGAGGAGACTTCCTAGAGCATATGCATTTGGTGAATAGTAGAGGAGCAGAGTCATAGGTTTACTTGTTCTAAAAAAAACAGCTTGAATTTTTTTCCTCTGCACCACTGTGAAAGTAAGTTGTTGAATGAGGGAGGGGGACGGGACGATGGTTGGTTAGAGTGATTCACACACACAAAAGAACTGGCCTGCAGCCTCACATTCCAAGCTAATGGGCCTGAGAAGACTGTGGCGGGGAGGTTTTTTTTTCTCCTTGGGAAACGGCTCTTCACTTTACTTTTGCCCTGACTCAGGGAAGGTGTGTGTGAGGAGGGGCTCCGAGGTTCATTTTGTTTTCGACCAGGTCATCTGGCTGTCTTTGGCCCTGGTCTGCCTCCATTCTCCTGCGCCCTGTTCTGCTCACGGCCCGGGACCTGCTCAGATTTCATCAGAGAAGCCAGGGACATCTACAGAGGAACCTTTGAGGGAAGAGGCTGCCCCTTCCTTTCTCTGTTATCCTGTTGTCAGTAGCTTGTACACATCAACGAAGGGGGGGGGAAATCCCAGCCAGAGCCAGCCATCAACAGCATGAGTCCATAG